ATACTGGTGGGGAGGTTGGCTGTGTTGTCATTTCTTGATTGGTTGATGGAGTTGATGTTTACAGATTGGCTGGCTTTTTCGTAAGAACATGTATGGCTGAGATATTGGCTGTGTGTCTATCAGTCTCCTGTGTTGTAACAACCTGGGTAATGGGCTGTATGATGACTTTCTGAGTTCTATTGTTTTGACATCCTAGGTCTTGTGCTGTAATCTCCTGGGTCATTGGCTGTGTTGTAACATCCTGAGGTTTTGTGGTGTAACCTCCTGAGTTCTGTGATATGATATCCTGAGCGGGTGGCTGTGATGTGAAGATACCTGCATACCTGTACCCATGAAAATCTATGAAAACAAATATCATACTTCTACGGGGAGGAAACCTTCTAGCTGACCAGGACCTAAGAGAAACTCGAAGTCCGAAGAGCCACCATCTCATGTGACCTCACATTCCTATGCAATTGCTGAGACAAAAAAGTGATCCCCACATGCTTCCAACTCAAATTCTATTCCTTTCAGCCACTGAAAGGATCCTGAAAAGAATGGAATTAGCCCTAATCAGAAACGAACCCCACAGGAAGAGATTTCTACTAGACCAAACCAACAGGGACCTACTTACTCTCCACCTCAAACTCAGCAACAAAATCTACCCAGCACTCTGGGACAAATCCAAACAACTAGCCTTCTGAAAAGCCAAAACAGAAACCTCCCACAAGACAGACACACACACCAGCAAACTCCACAGACAAGAGAAACATCAGAAGCCCAACCCCACCACAACAGTGCATGAAACCAACACTACACAACATATCAGACAGAACCCTCACCAGAGCAGAAACCAATGTCCTTTCCAAGGGATTCAACAGTCACCCTCAAACATATCGCCACCGAAAACATTATATGCGGAGTTGAAGCTAGCCTAACCAAAATTAACCCAGATGTAGCCAATAAAATCAGACTTGAAGTCACCAATGTCTTCTGCTCCAGCAGTCCACCCAGAAGCAACTTATACAGAGAACAAAAAGCACTCACCAACTTGAGGAAAGACAACAACATAATCATTCTCCCAGCAGACAAAGGCAACGCCACGGTCGTGATGAACACATCGGACTACCAATCCAAACTATCCAACCTAGTCCAAGACCCCGCTGACAAACCTCTAAATACTGACCCCACCACCTACCTTGAAAAAACACCAAATCCAAAATAAAAGCATCCTCCATCAGTGAAGAGATGCAGCAAAGAATCATCCCCAGAGAAAAATCATCCAGATGCCCTAAACTCTATGGCCTCCCCAAGATACACAAAGAAGGAATACCTCTCAGACCCATAGTCAGCTCCATAGGCTCACCTCTACAGAATCTTGCCAAATTTCTCGCCAAACAACTCCAGCCCTACACAGAATCCATCACCTCACACGTACAAAACTCCTTCCACTTCATAGAAACAATAAAGAAACAAAACCTACAACCTGGTGACCTACTCATGAGGTTCGATGTCATATCCCTCTTCATCCAAGTACCTATTAAAGAAGCCTTGACAGCCATCCAAAACAAATACAACCCCCCTAGGCACATCCTAGATCTGATCAACCACTGCCTAACCAACACATACTTCATCCACAGTGGACAAAGATACAAACAGATAGAAGGAGCACCTATGGGATCACCCCCTCACCCATCATCGCTAACCTATACATGGAACACTTTGAAACCAATGCTCTAGACAAATCCGAACACAAACCCAAACTCTGGCTTAGATATGTAGATGACACTTTTATAATTTGGCTACATGGGAAAGAAAAACTGGACAACTTCCTCACACACCTCAACAGCCTACACCCCAAAATACAATTCACCATGGAAACAGAAGCTAACAACCAACTTCCCTTCATGGACGTCCTAATTTACAAAAAACCCAGTGGCTCCCTAGGACACACCATCCACCAGAAGAAAACACACACCAACCGCTACTTAAACACACAATCCCATCACCACCCTGTACAGATCAACTCCATAGCCAAGACCCTCATCTCCAGAACCAAACGCCTAGCTGACAAAGACCACCTGAAAACATAATTACACACTCTCACTAATGTATTAATTTCCAATGGATTCCAAAGAAACACAATTACCAACCTAATCCTAAGGGAGAAACCCCCCAGAAACCGAGACACAGAACAGGACAACAGTATTGCCCTCCTCCCCTACATCAAAGGCACCACAGATAAAATCAGCAAAATTCTCCACAAACACAATATCAGGACAGCCTTCAGCACTGACCAAAAAAATAGCTAACATCCTAAGAAATCCCAAAGACAAGATCCCTCTAGAAAACCAAGGAGTTTATGAAATACCATGCAACAATTGCCCAGCCAGATACATTGGACAAACCAACAGGAGAATAAATGCATGCATCACAGAACACAAGAATGCAGTCAGAAAAGAAGAAAATACTTCCTCCCTTTTCCAGCTACAGGACATGAAATTAATTTTGAGGGAACCAAATTAATCTCCAATACTGAACACTTCAACAAGAGAATAATCAGGAAAGCCATTGAAATAGAGGAACACCCCCATAACATGAATAAACAGGATGATACCTCTCACCTACCAGACATCTGGAAACTAGCCCTTATCAACAAATGAGTCCCAGCCATGAAAACCAACACCGGACCCAAAACAACACATGATGCCACCACCAATCTCCCTCACCAGACTCAAAACCAAATCCACCCCATAGACGAAAGGTGTTGAGGTAATTGCCCGTTAGGAGAATGGATTTATTTGAGAGTAGTGTTTGAATAATACACATACAGCATACAGATACACTGTACAGTAAATGTAGGTTTTTACTTCCAGAAAGGTTTAAGCAAAGTTCAAAATAAGCAGTCCAAAGTCATTCACAGGTAAATCAGTCAATTTTTCAATCCAGGGACAATTCAATTAGAAAGTCCAGTGACAAAAACAGTTCAGTATTAGACTTACATCAAATCCAGGAATAGCAGTCAATTAAGAGGAAATGGAGGAATGGCAATACTTTCCAGCAGAAGGAAACAGAGATTCACTCTCTTCTGAGACTAAAACTAAGACTAAACAACCCAGGTTTCTGGCTCCATCTTATGGCCGTTTGAGAAAACACACCCAACTACAGTTTTGCATTTTCTTACAGTATTAAAATGTTTATCCTGTTAGGTGACTTATATTCCTAACAAAAGACAAATACCATCCAGAAACCAGACCATGGCTGCATCACCAGCTGCTACATACCCTGACCCTCCAAACCAAGCAAAGGGACACATGCCATGAACACATAGCCAGGCCTCAAACTCGGAGCCAAACCAAAACCCGGAACGTCACATCACAGCCACCCGCTCAGGATATCACGTCACGGAACTCAGGAATTTATGCCACAAAACCTCAGGATGTTACAACACAGACAACGACCCAGGAGATTACAGCACAAGACCCAGGTCATCACACAGCCCATGACCCAGGTCATTACAACCCAGGAGATTACAGCACAGGACCCAGGATGTCAAAACAATAGAACCCAGAAAGTCATCACACAGCCCATTACCCAGGTTGTTACAACACAGGAGACTGATAGACACACAGCCAATACCTCAGCCATACATGTTCTTATGAAAAAGCCAGCCAATCTGCAAACATTAATTCTATCAACCAATCAAGAAATGACAACACAGCCAACCTCCCCACCAGTAT